CAGCCATGACGGGGGTTCCCCTTCCCATGGCTCAGGGGGCTTGGGGGGTCCCCATTCCCCACATGCCGGTGGTGGAAGGGTAGGGGTCCCCTATGTGCCAGGGTGTTTATGGGGTCCCCTATGTGCCAGGGGCTTGTGGGGTGCCCCCTTCCCAATACGCTGGATACTGATGGGCTCCTCCTTCCCCAAATGCAGGCAGGGATGGGGGTCCCCCACCTCCAGACCCTGGGGTGCTCAGGGGTCCCCCCATAGCATCCCCCCTCCCTGGGGACACCCCCCATCCCTGGGCGCACTCAGCCATTCCTCATTCTCACGGATGAACAACGACGTCCCTCTTGCAGATCCCTAAATGCCATTTTTGGGGACTTATTTTTATCATTTCAGTCGACACATCAGATGCCTAAATCACACCAAGCCCCAGCAGAGGCTCTCGGGAACATTTCAGCTTTAGCAGCCACCACCCCCCCTAAAAAACCCTCACCATCACCCCCCCTAAAAATTAATACCGTGTATCTGCAACGCCAGCAGCTGGATTTCCAACCACGATCCTGCTCGTTTGACAAGCAGAGTTAAATTTAATTATTTATTCCTTCGTGCCCTGGTGTAGGAGTAAGTGCTCGGGAACATTTTGTGAAAGTAGGAGAGTTCTCTAAAGCTTGTTAGGTTTTATTGCCGAGTCAAATAAACAACGGGGATAAAAGCTTTGCATTAATTTTTCTGGTTTATGTCGTGCTTAATAGTGCTCTTAACGATCTCGAAGTCCTTTTCTTGATTTTTCCCCAGTTTATTCATCGATCAGGAAAGCACTGGGGCACGCAATGCTGCCCTGCCCCCGATGCTGGCGGCTTTTCGGCGGGGATAGTGAAAATACAAAATATTGGGGGGTTTAATAGTGATGGGAGAGCAAAGGGCTGATGCTGGCAAGGAGTTTATCACGGGTTACATCTACTAGGCTTCTTCGGTTGCTCTTGTCTAAGGGAGGTCTGAGTGCGAGGGCTTATGAGGGGATAAAATAGCTTTAATATGGCCTGGCAAATTTAGCTGCTAACATGAGCTGTGAGTTTTAATTTCAAAGTGGTTTGCTCTTCCAAAAGCAAAGGCAGTTACAGAGGAGCCCCCTCCAACCTTGAGCAACGTCCCTGCCCGACTGCCCTTCTCCTCACCCCCACGGACACCGAAAAAGCCTGAAAATGAAGGTATGATGCTTAACTCCCCCTTTTCACTCTCAAAAGCCGAGTTGGAGGAGCGAGACTCCCCCCTGCAGCAGTAATTTTACATATCGGCGTTTTCCATCGCACGTCACCCTCCAGGGAGGTAAACGTGCTGCTTGCGGCTCTTCCCTGCCATCAGCAAAAGGCAGCCGTGCAGCAGAGCGGCTGTTGACCACTCTCAACTGGCAATGCTCAAAGAGTCCCTACGGGAAAGAAAAAATATTGCATTGAATCCGAAATTGTGGGATGCTGAGCTGGAGGATGGCATTACCCGCGGCACGGCGTGGTGCTGCACCATGGTCATAAAAGAAATAACCAAAGTCCTATTTCTGAACTGGTGCACCAGTTTATTTCAACAGCAAAATATATTTAAGTGGCGTTTCGCTTCTAGTTCATCCTATGGAGCAGCACGGAGAGCCTGCTGAAAGCTGAGAGCATCACCTGGGTACATGGACAGCCACATGGACCCCCACTGGGCCCCAAGGTGAAGGAACCTCCCATTTGGTATCATCAGCAGAGTTGCTAATGGTGCATTACACTCTTGCATCCAAATCACCCATACAAACACTGAACAGAACCAGCCCTAGGACTGAGCCCTGAGGAACACCGCTGGTGACCGCTCCCCAGGCAGATGTAGCCCCATTCTCCACAACCCCTGGAGCCCTGCCGCCAGCCAGTTCTTCACTCGCCGCACCCTGTACCTGCTCATCTCACAGCTGGACAACTTGTCCCGAAGGATGCTGGTGAGGGACAGCATCAAAAGCCTTATGAAAATCCAGACAAACTACACCCACCGCCTTTCCTTCATCCACGAGCCGGGTGACCTTATCAAAGAAGGATATAAGAGCAGTTAAACAGGGCTTTCCCTTGGTGAACCCATCTTGACTGTGCCTGATGATTGCATTGTTCTTTAAATGCCTTTCAGCAGCACCCGCTATGATCTTCTCCATCATTTTTCCGGGTACTGAGGTCAGACTAACAGCTCTGTAGTTTCCTGGGTCTTCCCTCTCACCCTCTCGTAGATGGGAATAACGGTGGGTGGCTTCCAGTCAGCAGGGAACTCCCCAGACCCCCAAGACCTTTGGTAGATGATGGAGAGTGGTCCTGCCATAACGTCCGCCAGCTCATCAAGTGCTCTGGGACGAAGCCCATCAGGCCCCACGGACTTAGGAACAGCCAGCTGACGCAACTGGGCCCTTACAATTTCACTGTCCACAGATGGAAAGTCGCTCTTCCCGCAGTCGTGCTCCTCCGACTCAGAGGACCGAGTTGATAGCTGGACAAAAGGTTGAGAGAACATCGTGGAGCCTCCTGCTTTGGGTTCTACAGGTTCTGTAGCAAAGAAAAGCAGAGGAACCCAAGCCAAGAAAGGGGCGGGGGTGTTGAGCACCAGTTTGTTTCAATTGCAAGATGTGTTCAGGTGGCGTTTCACTTGTACTTCGTTCTACAGAGCAGCCACGGAGAGCCTGCCGAACGCTGAGAGCATCGCCTGGGTACGTGGACAGCCACGATGGAGGCTCCGCTCCCGAAATCACTGAGTAGGGGCTATTCCATAGAAGAGGGTACGGGTATTTCTGCATGGGCGGAAGGTGCCCAAGGGAAGAACTTCAGGTCTGGGGCACTTTGATGCCCAACGCTGCAGCCTTCCCCATCCCTCCCTGGGGACCAACTCCCCGGGGCAGCGGGACGCAGCACTGTCCTAGCAGGAGATACCAAATGCAGACACAGCTGGATTCACTCAAAATGCTCAAAACAGCTCTCCCCGTGAAAAGAAAACAGGGCTTTCTAGCAATTTCTTCTGTCTTCCGCTTCCTGTTGCCAGGAGACGGGCGCCGCACTGTGAGGTCACCATGATGCAACACAGGCGTCACGGTGACATTGGAGAACTTCCCAGGCAGCTGGCGCCAGAGCCCTTCATCCTGCGGACCGGCAGGACCAAGCCTGGCTGCTCAGGGAAAGGGCCGTGCCTGGAAGTTTCAGCCAAGCTGTGAAAAAAGTAGTAGTTAAAATGGAGCCGCCTTCACCAGGGCCGTCCTGGGCTTCCGACCCAGAGGAGCCAGGTTGGTGGGCGGCTTCAACATCTCCTGACCATCCCGGAGGTGATACGGGAACACCTTGGCATGCTGCCGCCGGACTTCTCCCAGGAGAAAACGCCTTTCAAGGTTTGCCTGAGGGATCTTGGGCCCCCATCGTACGCTCTCCTTTCTGGGAGGAGATCTCTGCCCACACCGAGCCGTCTTCAGCCCGCCTGTTCCTCCAGAAGCTCTGGAATATCGTCGGCAGCCATCGCTTCCAGTCAATCTGGTGGGGCGATGATGGAAACTGCATCGTGATCGCAGAAAAACTCTTCAGAAAGGAAGTGCTGGGGAGGAGGGGACCCCTGAAGATCTTTGAAACCGAGTCCATGAGAGGCTTCATTCTCCAACTTAACCTCCACGGCTTCTGCAGGATGGAAGGGGATTCTCTCGTATCTGCCTCCATCGAGGAGCTGCAAGCAGTCGCAGCAGCAGGTTCTGCTCTGGGCAAGGTACGTCGGCTCCTCCGCACACGAAAGAGCCCTCGGGACATGCCGGGGGGAGAGGTTCACGTGCAGATGAAATAAGCCCTTACAAGGCAGGAGATGGGGATGGGAGCAAATGGCCTGATTTTGTCCCGCGGGTCCTTTTCGGGAATTCTCGACGCAGGATTTCGGAGGAGCAGAAAAGCTGATAAAATAGAATTTGGTTATTTCTGCTTACTTTGAATCTGTGAAACGGAAACATAGTCCCATGGTATCATGCTTTTTTTGTGCTTGCTCTGTATCCGGCTGCACCAAAAATTTAGATCTTCTTGTGGCACCTGCTGAATGCTGACAAGAAGATACACGTCAGCATCAGCGTTATTCCTGACATGCCCATTCCACGCTGAGGGGCCTGAAAACTGGCAGCATTTGGGTTTCTCCGTCGGTTTTTAGGCTTTTGAAAATCCTACCCTTCTCGGCTCCCACATGCCAAAAACACAAGGGTGGTTCTTACTCAACAAAACCCTAGCCGAACATTTTAGTCAGCCCAAACTGGAGGTTTAAAATGCCCCCGAGAGTCCTTTTGAATACCCGTGTTCGTCTTTGCTGATGCAAACGCTTAGTTATCGCATCTCTGGCTTTCTCCTTCTTGAAATGATGGCAACTGACTCCTCTCCTTTGCATTTTGTAGCTGCTCTTCTACTACAACCCCTTTTTTCAGAGAGATTACCCCAACCTCCTCAGGATGTGCACGCAAAGTGCTGGTGAAAGAGAGCGAGCCCCGGCTGCATCCCCGCTGGGCCCCAAGATGGAGAAAGACCACCTGAGAAGAAGACGACCTGATGCTCAGCCGGCGGTGGGAGCTGCGGTGGAGGAGAACGAC